CAGCAACTCTATGAGGTATGAGTTTTTAAAGTATCTGTATTTTATAGGCACGAAAAGGAGGCAAAGAGAAGTTAAAGCATGAAGCTACTTAACAAGAAAAGAATTGGGTGGCATTTTTTACTTTAATCTTTCCAGTCAAAATTATCTGTCCTGTGCCTCATTGCCTCAGAATTATGTTCTCAATTCAATAATCATATCTTAAGAGCTTGCCCTACATAAATCACTTCATGGGGGAAAAAAAAAGAAAAGAAAGAAAAGGAAAACATATAAAGAATTTTCTGTATGAGTCTCTCTGCTAAAGAATTACCAAATTAATCCTTCATAATCTGGTTATGAATGATAATGAACCAATGCTGTGTTTCTCAAACTAGTGTAACACTAATTACAGACAAGCTCCTTGAAAAAAAGGTGCCATGGTGAAAGAAGCTAGGAAAATACCATCTATTATACATCTGACTTGGAGATCTGAAACAAATATTGGCATATTAAGGGCTCTGGTAAGTTCTGTAATACACAAACCTGTTTATCGTTGTTTAGCTAACATCAAACCAAGCTGAACTAATGTTCCACTGAATAGACTTTGAGAAAAGCTGGGTTATGTGTCACGCCTTACATGGGCTATTTTTGCATTTGTCAAAAATATCTTTCCCAAAGGAAGTGACTGTGAAGGCAGGGATTTCACCCCTAGGCTATGCCAATAAGGGAGATGCTGGCAGGTGATTCCTTTTCCACCTCTCAAATCAGTTTCCATAGAAAGCTGCCTATTTTGTCTTAGCAGAGGATACCTATAATGTTAGGGGCCAACCCAATTTCCTCTCTTCCATTAGCCAATCACAAGTCAATCAAGTACATTATTTCTGGCAAGAGTTGCACTGACGCATTCAAGTCTAAAAATAACTCTTGACCACATGTGGTACATCTATATCCTTCTCCAGATTCTAACATCTATATTCACCAGCTATAAAATTGTCACTCAGTTGTAATCATTTTCCACTAATACATGTTGATCTGGTATGAAAAGAAGCCATTTAAATAACCCAAATCCCCACTTCTTTTTTGTTTGTTTGTTTTATAGAAAGTTTGCCAGTATTAAATGTTCCATCACAAGATTTGGCAAATGTATACTGGCCTTCATACACTTTAAATTTTAACAGATTTGGGGAGGAATGGGTCCAAAATAATCATTCCAGTCTTTGAGAGAGAAATATCTATGCTCTAAAGAATGTTCCTAAGATAGCATTTTAGTTATAAATAAGACTTACTCCCCAGGAGCAATCTTAAACTACATGTAAAAGAATTAGAGGTTTAAACAAACTAATCTTAACTCATGTTTAACTCTGGGAGGAGTGGTATGGGAACATGGATTCCATTGCTTTGACATAAATGAAAAAAAGGTTTTTGTTATGAGTATTGCAATAATGAACATGCCTGCCTAGGAGAGCAAATGTTTGGGTTTGAGCACATAAGTCCCTATGTGTGGAAATATTTTTAAAGTATAAAATATAAAGAAAAATGGGGAACATGATGAGGCCTGGCAGGTATCATATCTAACGGAACACATCCGAGCCCCCAGAATCAGCCAAGAGGCAGTCTGACAGCAAAGACTCGATCTTAGCCTAGTCTTCATCCCAGTCCCACATCTGGGGTCCGGAGTCACCCTATGTGAGGAGATGAGACTGGTGTCAAGACCACTTGCAGTTCTTCTGAGAATGGCTGATACCCACAACCCTTCTCCAATAGATTCTTGCAGGCCTCCAGTGATACAAAATGAAAACAAAGACCCAACATTCAGCTAGTCAAGAATCAAGCTGATTCCCATGGTGTCATAACAGAAGAAGTACGGAGAGTCCTCACTGGTCAATTCAAAATGGAATTTTCTTTCCCCTTTGATGATTCTAATGTAGAATATCTGAGAGAATGAATCTTTCTCAAGAGGTAAGTTCAAACTCAGACCACAGCCTGGTACCAAACAAGTATAGATGAGCACTTCTTTCTGCTCAGCTGTCCATATCCACTCATCTCACCACCTTCTGTCCATATCCACTCATCTCACCAAGTAAACCTCTCACTTGCCAGTTCTGCCACAGGAAAAGGCTTTAGGTGAATATGTTGTTTTGTTTTGGGAGAGTTTTTCTATTATGATAACTAAACCCTTACACATTAGCTACATTTTTTACTCCAGAAAAAGAATTTAGATTAAGAAAAGTCGCAAACTTGATACCTCTCTCTTACTGGGAAATTAAAATGAATATGGGCAACTTCATCAAGTGTTAGTCCAGTAAATGAATTTGTCAAGCTAAATATCATTTCCTACTAGCTTAATCACATGTTAAAACAGCACTTATAAGGTGAAAACAGTTAAGGCAGTTGCTCTCTTTCGAAAGCAGGGGGCACTTAAAACATAGATCCTATACGAACCACACTGGAATTGGTAAATTTCAATATTCAGCGTTCTATAAATATATTTCCTACTTTCTTGTCATCCACTTTTCAATGACCAAATCCCCCTGACCTAATGTCTCTGGTCTCCTTTACCCAGTCCTTCCACGCCATGTAGTTCTTGCAGCCCTACATACCTTTTTACTGTCCTTAAAACTCCTGATTCCCAATTCCCCAAAGGGCAAGGACAGCTTGTGTGTATCACTGCACATCCCATAGAAACTGGTCCACCCAGAATGTGCAGGTGCTCAAAAAAACTGAAAGCATATATTTCTACCTCAGAATATGTATGGGTATTCCTTTCTCATTTCCTGAAATATCTCCATCTGCAAGGAATTTGAAGGTCATCTAAGGATGAACACTTTCATTTCTCCAAAACCTCCTAAAAAAGTTAATTCATACCAGTACTATCAAACATATATACTAATCAGACGTCTCCATTAGCTAGTGTTTAAAATAATGCAACGGGCCCAAAATGGAGTCACTTATGCTAAGGCTCATGTCAGCAAAGCAAGACAACTACAGTTTCAGCTCTCTCAGAAATGGAACCTTAAACCAGTCAACCTGGAATCACCTGATTGATCAGCACTAGTTAGGTCAACTGCCTGATAAGCCCTTGCCATCCCTTAAAGGAAATTAACTTTGCAATAACCAACTCGATTTTTTTTGCTTATAACTTCCCTGTTCCTGCTCCCTTCTGCGGGAAGTCTTCATTTTGTACAGCTCCTTGGAGCTCCTTTCTCTCTGCTGTCCAATTCATGAATCGTTGAATAAAGCCAATAAGATCTTTCAAATGTACTCAGTTGAATTGTATTCATTAAACACTATTTCCCCAAAGATTTCTAACTTACTTATCTCCTCTTAAAAATGGGGTGGGTGGGAGGGGAATCAACCTCATGATTATTTAGTGTTCATAATAGTTTCTAACTTTAAAATACATGATTCCTGGTCAAGGGCACATACCTGGGTTGCAAGTTTGATCCCCTACCCCAGTGTGAACATGTGCAGGAGGCAACCAATCGATGTGTCTCTCTCACATCAGTGTCTCTCTCTCTCTCTCTCTCTCTCTCTCTCTCTCTCTCAAAAAATAATAATAATAATAAATAATAAAATAAATAAAAATAAAATGACTAGACATTTTGTATTCTATTAAGTAATTCCATGAACTTAAAATTTGCTTCATTGAAAAAGAAATTATAAAGCAAATAATGTAAAAACATTTCTGAGTTCGCCTTTGTAAAACGAGTTAAATCTGTGTATTTTGTGTTTATGAAGAATCGAACATTGTATTTTTAAATAGTGTGTTATTCAGCAAATGACTGATCCTTTTTTGTTTTTTTTTTAATACTGTGCACTGAGTGCCTGCTGTGTGCAGATCTGGGCTAGGTTCTGGAGATACTGCCCTGCCTCACAGAGCTTGCAATCTGAAAGAGAAATTTACAAATCTTGACAAACCATACATTCCAGATATTCAAGCAAAAGACGTATTGTTTTCATTTTCAGAAGCATATCGCATTCTAACAGTAATATTACGATAGATTTTTACTGCTAAACTTGAAACAAGACAACAAAGTGAATGTGAGCTTTCATATAATCTCCTTGAAAAATCTGCCAGGATTCATTAATAGTTCCTTTACTATCCGAAGACTAGGCCTTATTATAACTCTTAAGAGTAGAAACATGAAAAAAGCCCAAGAACACTGTTTTAAATACCTCTAATAAATACTAAATAAATCCCATTTAACATCAATTAAAACGTGCCTTAAAATACTCTGGATGGAGATGCATCAGATAGGTATAAAGGAACAACATCTGAAATAAAAACCTGGTCACCAACCACTTATCCCAAGTGTCAAATGCAGGAAGAAAAAAAAAACAACGAATATTTCCTTTTGCTGAGCAAGGTCGAGTCCAGTTTCAAACTCCGAATGCCTGTCAAGGCCACTTTCCCATCCTGGGAGGAGGCCTACAGGTCTGCACACACCACCACCCAATGTTGCCAGTACCCTTAACATTCCCTGAGCATCCACAGTGCCCCTGTGCCTAATGCACACGTAGAGGTAGAGAAGGGTATGGAGAGCCTGCGGAACCCAATAAAGCTGGTCCTCCGGGAATTAGGAAATACGTCTAAATGACTCTTCCTCTTGTCTCGAAGTCCCTGCCTTCTGCACCTTAGCTTTCTACACCTGTCTGCAAGGCTTCTGTTATCCCCTCGGGTCTCTGGTACAGCAAAGGGAGAGTGACCGCTGGGTTGGCGAGCCCGCAGATTTGCTCGCTACGTGCTCCCATCCTCTCTGGCCTAAGCTCCCCAAAAGGTGGCCTAACGGCTGGGGGAGGGTTTGGGGCTGGGAAGGGACGGAGGACAGCAGAGCCTGGAACCCAGCAAGCCACAGCGCTCTAGGTCAGGTTCATCCCCATCTCCATCCGTCCCTCTAATTCCCCCACCTTCCACCCCAGACGCCCCTTTCCACAAGGCACCCCCGGGCCCACCTTGCCCTCCTGCCCCCAACCGCCACCAGTGCAACCGTCTGCGGCTCTCCTCCAGGGATGGGCGCGCTTACCAGGCTCGTGGACCCCAGGGTTGTCGGACAGCTCGATGACCAGCAGCTCCCGGCCCTCGAAGCTGCGCCCCACCGTGTAGATCCTGCTGATGGCGGTGCACTGCAGCCACACGGACACCAGCGCCTCGCGCAGCTCGGGGTAGCGGTGGTACTCGAAGGAGATGCCGTCTTCCTGCTGCAGCCGCCGGCGCCGCCGCATGCCCGCCGCGGACGCCCCGGGCTCCAGGGTTTCGGCGCTCAGCAGCCACCCGCAGGCGGGCCAGCGTCGCGCACAGGGGCCAGAGCGCCGGGCCTCCTCGCCCGGCCATCGCGGTCTCTTTCCGCAGCCCGTGCCTTTCTGCGCCGGCGGCCT